CAAAGTGGGTAAAAATAAATGAACTTCTTTAACTCCAGCATTAAGAAAGGAAATGGGCTGTGTAGATGCCTGACCACTGCACTTTACACCTGAAGATAACTATAATTATATATATATATATATATATATATATATATATATATATATATATCATCACAGGATGTGGAGGACAGCATAGGGAATAGAGTCAATGGAATTGTGACAGCTATACACACTGTCAGAGGGGTAGCAGATTGGAGGAGGGGGGTTTCACTTTGTGAGGGGTGTAAATGTCTAACTATTACATTGTTTTGTACACCTAAAACGAATTTTAAGAAAGAAAAGAAAGGAAATGTCCTCATCAGAGCCCTTCTCATCTGCTTAACCTTAATTCAAAGTCACCATGGGTTTTCCCTTCACAGCATCAGCTTTTGGCTATCAAGGAGCAAGATACCCCTTCCTTTGAAGTCATTTGTCTCCCTATGCCAGGAACTGTGCAAAAACTGTTTGAAATAAGGTAGACTACACAGTATTTGGTCCCTTGGAAAAGTATGGGTAAAGTACTGAAGGAGTTCAGAGGAGAGAGAAATCATTTTCAAATTGGGCATATTTGGAAAGATCCCATGACAGGAGAAGCCCTGGAGAATGGCTTTGAACAGTTGGTTCTTTTGAAGATATGGCAGTTAAAAGAGACTGGGAAAAGAGAGTTTCAGGTGGGGATGGGAGTGAGTGGGAAGGGTGTGACATTGAGGAGGAGAAGTTGTCAATTTGCCAGCAGGTAATGTCATTTTCAGACCTGTCCAGGTCCCCTACATACCATGTAGTTTTAGGAAGGGGTCCAGGGTTTCTTACTGGCATTTACTTTAAGAAATAAGATTTAAAAGACATAGGTTACAAAACACTCTGACAGAAAGTATGTCTTTTGCTTGTGAACCCATCTGTAAGATAGGTAAGACAGTGGTTTAGGGGTTTCAGTAACTAACCTGATGAGTCATGGCCACTTCAGGGTAAAACCAAGACTCTTAAAACCCTGAGTCCTTTCCAATACCATTGCCTAGAACATCCTTCCACCTGTAGTTCTAGGAGGAGCCTCCTGCAACCTCCTCAAGTAAATTGAGATTCTATCTCGTACGAATTCATAGCTATTTTCACTTTTTCTTTTATAAGACTGCCATTTCTAAGAATACTTTTATTTATGGGGTTGCACTTGTGACCTCCATTCCTTAGGTGATTTATTTACCAGATCTGTACAGTTAGGAATTGTAGGTTTTGTTCACCATTGTATTGGGTTGGCGGAAATGTCACTACGTATTTTTTCTGTTTTTCGTTGCAAAAATGCATCATGACTTTTCCGACAACCCAATATATTAACCAGCACAGTGCCTAGCATTGCGCTCAGCAAATGTTTCCGGTATGTGTGAATTCTACCATGCAGTTCTCTCACTGAACACTCATATTCTCTCTCTCCCCCGGAACCCCACCGCTCCTCGCCCCTTTTTTCATTGAGGTAACATTGGTTTATAACATTACGAAGGTCTGACAATTAAGTTTGCAAACTTGTTGCAATGATGTTGCTAACCTTTTTTGATATCAGAGGGATTATTCATTATGAATTTGTACCAACTGGACAAACAGTTAACCAAGTTTACTATTTGGAAGTGTTGAAAAGGATGCGTGAAAGAGATGAAAACGACCTGAACTTTCCACCAACAATTCATGGCTCTTGTATCATGACAATACACCAGCTCACACGGCACTGTCTGTGAGGGAATTTTTAGCCAGTAAACAAGTAACTGTATTGGAACACCCTCTCTAGTCACGTGATCTGGTCCGCAATGACTTCTTTCTTTACCTGAAGATAAAGGAAATATTAAAAGGAAGACATTTCGATGACATTCAGGATATCAAGCGTAACACAATGACAGCTCTGATAGCCATTCCAGAAAAAGAGTTCTAAAATTGCTTTGAAGGGTGGACTAGGCGCTGGCATCAGTGCATAGCTTCCTAAGGGGAGTACTCTGAAGGGGACTGTAGTGATATTCAGCAATGAGGTATGTAGCACTTTTTTTAGGATGAGTTAATGAACTTAATTGTCAGACCTCGTATATGTTTCAGGTGTACAACATTATAATTTGACATCTGTATACACTACAGCATGTTCACCACCAAAGGTCTAGTGTCCATCTGTCACCATATAATTGACCCAGTTTATTTACCCATTTTGCCCTCCTACCCACTTCCCCTCTGATAACCACCAATCTGTTGTCTGCGTCTAGGACAGCGGTTCTCAACCTGTGGGTCGCGGCCCCTTTGGGGGTCGAATGACCCTTTTACAGGAGTCGCCTAAGACCATCGGAAAACAAAAAGATATTTACATTATGATTCATAACAGTAGCAATGAAAATAATTTTATGGTTGGGGGTCACCACAACATGAGGAACTGTATTAAGGGGTCACGGCATTAGGTAGGTTGAGAACCGCTGGTCTATGAGTTCTGTTTGATTTGTTGATTTGTTCTTTTATATTCCACATATGAATTAAATCCTATAGTATTTGTCTTTCTTTGTCTGACTTAATTCATTTGCATAATACTCTCAAGCTATAGTGTTTGTGTGTGTGTGTGTGTGTGTGTGTGCCCGCGTAATATATTTCATGTGATTATAATATAAGGCTTAAGAAGTGACCTGGGAAAGGATGATCTTGCAAAGACCTGGTCAGAAAACAGGCCTCTCTCCTGTCAAAAACAAACAAAAAAACGAATGCCAACAAAAATACCATGCAAAAGCCAGAGGGGAAAATCATAGAACCCACAAAATATCACCACCCCCTGGCAAACTGGCAAAGGTCAACAAGCAAGAGTTCCAGGAAGAACAACATAGAAAAGCAATTAATAATAAAGTGTGACAGAGACGTGCCAGCTGGGCAGCAACAGTGCCTGGTTCGCTTCATAACCAAAGAAACGAAGGGAAGTCTGTGAGGTATGTGAAGGCAGAGATTGAGTCTGCCTTGTTCATCATCCATCACTGCTTCCCCAGAGCTCAGAGACCACTCCATTACCACTGACTACAATTTATTTTTTCTCTCCATCCACCCATGTGCTCTTCCGGCCATATGCCCAGCCCACCCCACATTGTCTTGTGCTCAGGGCTGCTTCAACAAGGCACACATTTCCACTGGTTCCAGTCACAGGACATGGGGACACTCTGCACTTTTAAGTTAATTTTTTTCATGGTGTGGTTGGCCTTATCCACATGGCAATACATGGGGAAGCCGAATTTGTCCAGAGCCTGGAGCTGAGCACAGATGACATGATAGATGAGACTCTGTCCTCGGTACTCAGGCACGGTGCCTCCCATTCGCAGCTCTCCTGTCTGGTCCATCAGGGTCCATGACATGGGGGTCCCCTCGGGCCCCAGCAGACAGAAGCTGGGGAAGGTCCGGATACAGCGCTCGATGAATCTCTTGCTGCGCTCATTGCCACCAAAATGCCAGAATTTATTCACCAGGGCAGCGTGGGTGACATCCAGGGATGAGAATTTAAACATCTCTTGGTTGCTATTGGAAACAAGGGGCAAGAACAGCCCATAATATTACACACACTCTGAAGTATTATATTTGTTTCCCTGCATATTGTCCTGAGAGGCAAATGGGGCAAATTCAAGGGCGTGGGCTCTGCAGCCAGGCTGCCTGGGTTTATCATCTGACTACTTGGGGGATTTGGGGATGATTACATCACCTCTCACTTCCTTTATTTCCTCAGCTAATAAATGGGGATGAGAATCACACTTCCCTCATAGAATCACTGTGAGGCTTAAATGAGCCAGTGGATGTAGGTGCTTAGAACCAGTACCTGGCAGATAGTAAGCACCCCACTGAAATTAGCAGCAATTGTTTCATTTGGCCTTTGCCATAACCTTCCTAGCTAGATAGGGCAGGTGTTCTTATCCATTTTACATAGAAGGAAAAAGTTTTGGAGAAAACAAATGCATGCTCCAAAGCACGTGCTAGCAAGCTGTAAAGCCAGAGCTGAGAAGCATGGAAGCTTAGAATGCAGATGTCAGAGGGCCCTTGGCCACGGGGAAAGCAGCAGTCCAGAGGGGGGCAGTGATGTGGAACACAGGCAGCCCCCTGGGTAAGAACCCCGAAATCTGAGGCTTTGGGGAATGTCCTTGAAAGGGCCCACAAAGTGGAACCAGAAGGCGACTCAAGCCCCGATTATTATGCCTTAACCATCACCGTGACCTGAATGAGCTACGAGTATTTCATCATCTGAGCCTGTTTTTGGTCAGGAAAAGGGGGATAATAACACCTACCTTATCTATCTCATGGGGTGGACAAGAGAATCAAATGAGATGATAGATTTGGAGGTGCTTTTCAGGTGTAATGTGCAATTCAAGGTGAATAAAGATTTTCCAGGCATATTGGCACACAGAGGGCCGTGGGATTGGGCATCTCCACATCAAATCTCTGCCATCAGTTTTTTATTTTCTTCAATGTTAGACTAGACACCAGTGGGGGAAAATACATCACTTGTTGAAATTATCTTTATTGGAAATGTTTTGTTCTGTGCATTCACTGAACACATTTATTAAGCACCTACTGTATACTAGGCACCATTCTAGCTGTTGAGGATCTGTCAGGGAGAATGCCTGCCCCAGGGGTGGTTGGGAAGAGTGCAAACATCAAATAAGTATGTAAGTTAACTAAGTTAGCTCATTTCAAATAAGGCCAAGTGCTATGAAGAACACAAAACTGGGTCATGAGTGGCAAATAACTGGGAAGTGACATTAGGTAGGTGGTGTAACCAGTACTTTCTGGTAAGATGACATTTGAGAAGTCCTGAATAGCAAAAGAAGTCATGTGTGTAAAGAATGCATGAGGGTGGGGCAAGACATTTTAGGCAAAGAAAAAAGCTGACTCAAAGGGCCTGGGTTTGCTGTGATTGACCAGGATGAAGGCCAACATCGTTGGGGAGTAAACAAGAGAAGATAGGCCTAAAAGATAAGATAGGCTCTTACAGGGCCATGAAAGAGTTCAGAATTATTTCACAGTGAGATGGGAAGTACTAGAGACTTTTAAGGAGGGAGGGACATGTTATAAATACATTTTTAAAAGAAAGTTTACTCTGGCTGCTTTGCAGAAAATGGATTATCAGAAATCCAATCAAAAGCTGGAGAAGTTGGTATAGTGTGCTGAATGGTGTGTCCTCTCAAGAGATATATCCACCTTGAACCTGAAAATGTGACCTTATTTCAAAAAGGGTCTTTGTAGATGTAAATAAATTAAGGATCTCGACATGAAATCATCCGGGATTATCTAGTGGGCTTTAAATCCAATGACAATCCTTGTCACAGACAGAAGGGAAGACACACATACGTGGGAGAAAGCCATGTGAGAGCAAAAACAGAGGCTAGGGTGATGAAGCCACAAGCCAAGGAATGCTTAGAGCCACCAGAAGCTGGAAGAGGCAAGTAAGGATTCTCTCTTAGAGGCTTTGAAGGGAACACGGGCTTGCCGACATCTTGACTTCAGACATCTGGCCTCTAGAACTGTGAGAGAAAGAATTTCTGTGGTTTTAAGCCACCCCAGTTTGTGATGATTTTTTGGCAGCAGTCCTACCAAATAAACACATGGACGCCTGCGGTACTGAGAGATACGAGGGGGTGCAACGCGGCTTCTGTCACACTTACATGAAATTATGTTTGCCACCAGGGAGGGGTAACGTCTCTGCATCCACCATAGAAGGAAATAATTCCTTTGCTGTCTGATAAGCCATATAGAGGTTGCATTGTGTTTGCTTGACCTTGCACAATTTAATAGCTACAAGATTTTTTATCACGTCATCCAGGTTGGACTGTAAACCTGGATAAAGAAAACAGGAATAATATGAGCTGTCACTGTTCATTTCAATGTCTGGGACAAGCTGCTCAGGAGTTGGAAAGTTTGTGGGTTTAGAGTCCTCAAAACTCGTGTTCAACCATGACTTGGCCTTTACAGGATAATGGTTAAATCTCTCCATTTTTTAAAATTTAAAGTTGGAATAAGACTATAATTCCTGAAAACATCACAGTCTAGTTATGACTATCAAAGGAGATGAGGTATAAATGTGATTGCCTAATTTATTGAACAATTCTATGTACTCCGTGCAGTAGTTCATTGCTATAATGATTCCAGTTTGTTCTTTCCTCACTATCCTTATTTCTCCTCCTGAATTGACTCTGGGCTGAACCATGACATTTGTTTTGGCCAAGGGAACAGTAGCAAATGTGATTTAATAAGAAGCTTGACATGTGACTGTACACTGAGTTTTCCCTTCTCTTTCTGTTCTCAAGAACGCTGTGAAATCTATACATTGCCCAATCCACTTACATTAGCACAGTCAATAGCCAGCAGAAACAAAGCTAGCATCAACAGCCAGGCTGGGGACTCTGACTAGCTGAGTCCTACCAGCTCATACAAACCTCCAGCTGACTGCAGCCACATGGGTGAATCTAGGAGAGACTAACTGAAAAATCACCCAGCTGAGTCCAGTTCAAATTTCTTAGCCACAAAATTGTGAGCTAATAAATGATTGCTGTTTTAAGCCACTGTGTTGGGATGGTTTGAAAACCTAACTGATAAAACCAGACAGAGTGAGTGCTAAGTACTTACTCAAGATCTCATTGAATTTTTATGTTTTGTTTTTATTTTTACTTTTTTTTAGCTGAGACATCCTGCCACCTGTTGGCAGCTCAGCGGCAGCTCAGCTCAAACCGCTGTTGCTCAGAGCTTGCACCCTTGAGCGAGCTCTTAACCAACTGAGCCACCCGGCTGGCCCTCATTGAATCTTTAAACCTCTCTATGTTTTGAGTGCTATTGGAATCCTCATTTTTAACCATAAGGAACTGATCCACAGAGAGATTGTTAGTTGCCCTAAATCACACAACTAGTAAGAGGTCCAACGAGGTTACAATCTCAGCTAGTTTAACTCCAGAGAGATATTCTTAACCACTGAATTCCTCTGTTGTAAATATGACAGAATGGTAAAACAGAGATGAGACAGAGGTGAAGCTCTGCTCCCAGAGTCACGCTTGCTAATAGATCCTGGAGAATAAATCACGAGTCCTTAGCTATTAAGAAATGAGATTACTTCTGATTTCCTTTGTAAACCCCATACATTGCTGTTCGCAAGTTCTAATTCACCTTGGAGGTGGTGGCAGCTGAGAGAAAGAGAACAGCAGGCTGAGTGTCTGGGGCTTGGAGTAAAGATACGTGGAATGGACGGGTGTTATTCAACATGAAAAGTCACCCTACAGATACAGACATGGGAGATCTCAGCAGCTGGAACACAGCTCAGTGCTCTTACTTTGAATCTGCAAATGTTGTTTCCAGTTGATGACTTCTGGTGAGCCAAGGAATTCCTGACAGTTCTTGGGGTCCTTGGAGTAGATTTGGTAAGTATTGGTGTAGTGATCAAGGTCATCTGTCATCTCCTGTTTGGGTTAAGAAAAATAGAATCAACCAAAAATATTTGTATTCCATGATTGCCTTAGTGGTTTTCAGTGTTCCATTATACTATAATATTTTAAAATACTAAAATATTAGCTTTTTTTTTCTGTAGGTGTGTTGCCTTTATTTAGGAATTATTTATATTATGAGGTCAAGTAAAAAAATTACTGATTCAATAATAATGAAAACTGTCTTGAAAAAAACTATTCTTTTTCTATACTTCTATAAAACTCAAGTAGAGAAGTAAAATGACCAGTAAAAATTTTGGCCAAAAAAATAAATCTTGCTCTAATGCAAAGACTTTTAGAACATGTGGGCTACAAACATGTCTTTTTAAAAACTGATACAGGGGCCGGCCGAGTGGCGCGATGGTTAAGAACTGGCTTGGGACACCAGAGGGCCCCGGTTCGGATCCCACATATGAGGGCCAGTGACACTGCCCTCCACAGCTAAGATGCTGAACAACAGCTCAACCTGGAGCTGGGCTGCCGTGAGTCGCTGGCGACGGCGGAGGCTGCAGCCCTTGTGGCAGTGGGTTGCCATGGGCTACCGTGTGCAGCCAGCAGCCAGCGTGAGCGGCCAGCAGCCAGCGTGAGCGGCCGTCCAGAAGCCGGCGACTGATCTGCCTCACCCGTGAAGAGCGCAATGATGGTGCCAACTTGGGCCAGTGAAGCAACATCCTCCACAACTAGACTGAAGAACAAAACGACAGCAACTTGTCTGTTCCCCTTCCCCCAATTCCCCAGCACTGTTCCCATCCCCCAATTCCCTAATAAAAATCTAAAAAAAAAAAAAACTGATACAGGTAACGGAATTAGAATATCTATCAATAAGTGATGAAACCAAAGAAAAGGATGACGAACCATATGTGCTTTCATTTTTAGTTTTTTAAATCTTTCTATTGTTAAACAAACTAGAGTTTAATCAAACAAGCAAGTAAAAACATATTCAAATATATCCAGTAAAATTATCAAACCCAACATGGCATTATTTGAAGATACAAGAATAGATAATAGGAAAAAATGGTTTCAAGCAGTACAGAATCAGAAAGCTTTCTTTCTATATGATATCTGGAAAATATTAAAGAAAAATACACTTCCTATTCAGCAAAAATAGTGCCGATTAAACTTTATTTTTAAGAGTAATGTCACCCAAATGACAGTGTAAAAGACTCCAGTCTTCGCCCCCCACCCCACCCCCCGCCCTACATAGATCACCAATTAGCTATTTATGAACAAGAACAGGTCTGGGAGAACTCTGGAGTCCACTTTAAAAACTTTAGCAACACTGTAGAAGAAAGAAACGTGAGAACAACTCCACAAAAAGAGAAGGAAGACAGCTTCATTTAGCCCGTATCATCCCACCCACCAAGCCAGCCTGGCTCAGCACCAAGAGAGAAGGACCCAGGCAGAAAGAGTTCCCCTCGCCAGGAACAGAAAAGCAGGGTGAGTGACCGGCTTCCTCAACCTTTTACCCAAGATGTCTCCGTTCTGTTTCAAACCACCCAGTCTGGCAAAGCTGAGATGAATAGAGATGGCTGAAACAAGAAAGAAAAGTGGGGGCTACTAGTTGTGGCCATATAGTGGGAGCAATCTGTGGATCCGACTAACCAGCTCTACGGACAAACCCAGCAGCTTCTGCCACTGAAGAAACCAGTGGCCAGCACAGCTGTTGTGGACCCCTGCACCCTTCACCAGCTTTTGTCCCTCATGGATTCAGCAATGCAGGCCATCTGAGGCCCGCCTCACTTGCTCCCACACTGACATAGTTATTACAATATTATTGACTATATTCCTTATGCTATACCCTACATCACTATGACTACTGTGTAACAATCAGTTTGTTCTTCTTAATCCATTCCCCTGTTATTACATACCTGCAAGCCCCCTCCCATCAAAATATTCTCTGTATCTATGAATTTGTTTCTGTTTCATTTGTTTGTTTATTTTGTTTGTTAGGTTCCACTTATAAGGGAAATCATGTGATATTTGTCTTCCACTGCCTGACTTACTATACTCAGCACAGTACCCTCTAAGTTCATCCATGTTGTCCCAGATGGCAACATTTCATTCTTTTTAATGGCTTAGTAATATTCTGTTGTATATACTTACCACATCTTCTTTACCCATTCATTCATTCAAGGACACCCAGATTGCTTTGATATCTTGGCTATTGTAAACAATGCTGCAATGGACGTATGGATGAATACGTCCCCTCATAGTAGCATTTTGGGTTTCTTCAGATAAATACCCAGAAGTGGGATTGCTAGGTCCTTCATCATCTCTTCTTATAGCCCTTGTTTTAAAGTCTATTTTGTCTGGGGCTGGCCAAGTGGAGCGGCGGTTAAGAGCTGGCTTGGGATGCCAGAGGGCCCCAGTTCGGATCCCACATATAAGGGCCAGTGACACCAGCCTCTATAGCTAAGATGCTGAACAACAGCTGGGCTGCCATGAGTCGCTGGTGACAGCGTGGGCTGCAGCCCCTGCTGCAGTGGGTTGCCATGGGTTACCGTATGAGGGCCAGTGACACTGCCCTCCACAGCTAAGATGCTGAACAACAGCTCAACCTGTAGCTGAGCTGCTGTGAGTCGACGGTGACGGCGTGGGCTGCTGCCCCTGCTGCAGTGGGTTGCCATAGGCTACCGTGTGTAGCCAGCAGCCAGCGTGAGCGGCCAGCAGCCGCAGTGAGCGGCCGTCCAGAAGCCAGCGACTGATCTGCCTCACCCAGGAAGAGCGCAATGATGGTGCCAACTTGGGCCAGTGAAGCAACGTCCTCCACAACTAGACTGAAGAACAAAAGGCCAGCAACTTGTCTGTTCCCCTTCCCCCAATTCCCCAGCACTGTTCCCATCCCCCAATTCCCCAATTTAAAAAAATATATATTTAAAATCTATTTTGTCTGGTGTAAGTACTGCTACTCTAGCTTTTTTCTTCTTCATGAAATATCTTTGTATCCCTTTAGTTTCAGTCTTTGTGTGTCTTTGGATCTGAAGTGAGTCTTGTAGGCAGAGTATGTATGGATCTTGTTTTCTTATCCACTCAGCTACCCTATGTCTTTTTTTTTTAATTAGTTTCAGGTATACAAAGCAATGTAATAGTTAGACATTTAAACCCCTCATAAAATGATAACCCACCCTGCAAGCTACCACCCTTCTGACATCTTATATAGCTGTTACAATACCATTGGCTATCTTCCCTATGTTGTACTCCACATCTCATGACTATATATACACCTATAATATTTAGTTATAGTTGACATTCAATATTATTCTACTTCAGCTCTTCAGGTGTATAGTGCATTGGTCTGGCATCTACAGTCTGTGATGTGATCCCCCTGATAAGTCCAGTGCCCATCTGACACCTTACATGATCTTTACAACATTGTTGGTTATAGAAATATACCCTATGTCTTTTGATTGGAGTATTTAATCCATTTACATTTAAAGTAATAGATATGTAGTTATTGTCATTTTATTATTCACTTTTTATCTTTTTTTTTTCTCATCTTAAAGAAGTCCTTCTAAGAGTTCTTGTAATACTGGTTTGGTGGTGATGAACTCCTTTAGCTTTTTCTTGTCTGGGAAGCTCTATTTGTCCTTCGATTGTAAATGATAGTTTTTCTGGATAAAGTAATCTTGGTTGTAGAACCTTGTTTTCATGACTTTGAATATTTTGTATCAATCCTTTCTGGCCTACAAAGTTTCTGTTGAGAAATCAGCTGACAGTCTAAGGGGAGCTCCCTTGTAGGTAACTAACTGCTTTTTTGTTGCTGCTTTTTAGGTTCTTTCTTTGTCCTTTGGCATTTTAATTATGATATATCTTGGTGTGGGCCTCTTTGAGTTCATTTTGCTTGGAACTCTCTGCACTTCCTGGGCTTGAATATCCATTTCCTTTGTCAAGTTAGGGAAGTTTTCAGTCATTATTTCTTCAAATAGGTTTTCAACTTCTTGTGCTCTCTCTTCTTCTTCTGGTACCCTAATGATGTGAATGTTGGTACACTTGATTTTGTCTCAGAGGCCCCTTAAAATATCCTCATTTTTTTGGATTCTCTTTGCTGTTCTGATTGGGTGTTTTCTACTACCTTGTCTTTCAAATCACTGATTTTATCCTCTGCTTCATCTAATCTACTGTTGATTCCCTGTAATGTACTCTTCATTTTAGTTATTGTATTCTTTATTTCTGACTGTTTTTTAATGTTCTATCTCCATTTTTATGTTTCCTATCTTTTTGTTGAAGTTCTCCCTGAGATCATTGAGCATCCTTATAACCAGGAGTTTGAACTCTGCATCTGGTAGATTACTTGACTTCATTTTGTTTAGTTCTTTTTCTGGAGCTTTGTTCTGCCTTTCATTTGGGACATGTTTCTTTGTTTCCCCATTTTGACTATCTCCCTGTGTTTGTTTCTATGTATTATGTAGGGCTGCTATGTCTTCCAGTCTTCACAAAGTGGCCTTATGTAGCAGGCATCCTGTGGGGCCCAGTGGGGGCCCCGTCACCAGAGCTGGGTGCTCCAGGTGTGTCCCTTTTGTGGGTTGTGTGTGCCCTACTCTTGTAGTTGAGCCTTGATTGCTGTTTGCACATCAATAGGAGAGAACAACCCTTGGGCTCATTGGTTGTGAGGACTGGCCATGACAACAGTGGAGGAGATGTTGTACAGGGGCTGACCCTACAGAGCAGGATTTGCTTTAGCAGGACTCTGATGCCTACCCAGTCTGGCCTTTGGGTGTATCATCCTTGGAAGTGGCTGGGTGATGCTCCTGCCTGGTTCAAATCTGGCCACTGGACATACCAGTCTCAGGGCCTCCTGGGAGGGGACCTGCTGCAGGCCAAGTCCAGTCATAGCCTGTGATCTGCTCTGGGCCACCTGGCATGAGCCACAAAGCAATCTGAAGATGGCCACCACCTGTCCTGGGCTTGCAGGTGCCTCAAGAAGCCAAGACACAACCAAGGCCAGCTGCTGCTAGTGCTGGGCTTGGGCTGCTCAGCAAGAGGTAAGAGACATGTGGAGGCTAGATGCTGCTTGTCTGGGTTTGTGAATCTTTGAGAGACTTTAGGAATGTCTGCAGCATGAGCCAAGGCAGGCAGTTTGTACTAAAAACCCACTAGAAGTGGCTTGGGTGTTCCTAAAAGCTGAGTGGGGCAGGATCTCAGGGAATCAGGGTGAATGAACAGTATTACCCTGGTTGAGGGAGACTCAAATATGGTGGCTGCCTGTGGCTGCGTGCCGGGATGGAGGAGGGCTCAACAAAGAAACAATGGCTTCCACCAGCTCCTCTCTTAAAGAGAAAGCTGCCCCTCCAGCCTTCACCCTGAGGCCAGACAACTCAGTTCCTCCCCATATGTTGCCTTTTGAGCTGCTGCCCAAGTGCCGGAGCTCAGAGTGAGTGAATCCATCAGTGAGCAAGTTCGTGTGTGGTCCCTTTAAGAGGAGCACCTGGGAGTGAAGCTGACCTTGTCTCACTCAGCCATAAGCTCTGCTGGTTTCCACAACCAGAAATCATGGGAACCTCTCTCTCCAGCACTGAAACCCTGGGCTGGTGATACTGGTGTGGCACCAGGACCCCTTTCTCCTCGAGGGGGGACCTCCATAGCTGAGATATTCCTCCTGATTTTTAATGGTCACACACGAGTGTGGGACCAGCCAGTTTCATGCTTCTGCCCCTCCTACAAGTCTCAATGTGGCTTCTTCTGTATGTCTGTAGTTATAGGGCTTTGGTTCAGCTAGACTTCAGGCAATTCTCAATGATGGTTGTTCCATGGTTTGGTTGTAATTTTGATGTGGCCGTGAGAGAAGGTAAGCACAGCATTTACCTACTCCACCATCTTGATTGGAATCCTCACATATAGTTTTTTTTAATGCCCTGTTTTATTGGCTTTATTAATGACAGAAGGTTAAAATACCATGCAGTCTCTCAATGGGAAGAGAGTGTCACAATGAGAAGTTGTGTTCATGTTAATGAGTTGGTGTAGTTTCAAGCTTGGTGTTTCTAAAAGGTAAGAAATATTTTTCCCCTTAGGTTAACCGTTAAAAATAGAACTAGAGTCTGATTTTTTACAATATAGGTGTCTATCCTGGAGAATGTTTCCTTAATATCTTTAACAAAAGATCAGTCTTTTGTCTATGCCATCAACATAATCTTAAATTAGCACAACCTTCCATTGGTTGCCTCTCTTCCCAACAACTGGATGCAAGAAATAACAAAGTTTTTGGTCTTAGCATCAGCAGGATGCTGTTTGGGGTCCTGTCTTGAAAAACAAACAAACAAAATTTAATGAGTATGAAAATGTACCATATATAATTTTAATAAGCTTTCTGCCTGTGCTACTTCTTTATTTTGTTCATTTCTGTTGCTGCACATTTCAACTCATGCTGTAATTTATCTGTGGTCTTACCTATATTCTTCTCCAGGCTGAGGACTTTGTGAGCATGAGGATTTGTTCATCGTCACTGTGATTCATTTCTGTATCCCCTGAGTCTACCACATTGCCAGGTGCTCGGTAGATGCATAGCAAGTAGAAACGTATTCATGCCACATCATCAGGCAGCTTACCTGCTCCTGAGGGCGGATGACCAGTGTATTAAAATCAGGCCACTTGTCCACCAGGGCCATTAGCTTGAATGGGTTTCCTTGTTTCATGTGGAAAACGGTCCCATAAACCTGCAGCATCCCAAGAAAGTGGGAAGGTAAGTAGATTAGGAAAGGATGACGAAGTGCTGTTTGATAGGATGAGGATTTCTATGAAATCATGGAATTTTTTAATTGGAAGGTATCTAATGACCATTTCTGTCAACCAATTGTTAAGTCTAGTTTTTTGCCCACATATATATATATACATCTTTCAAAAATATTCATGTGGTAAAATATTCAAAGCAATAAAATTTATAAATAAAATTCATGAACTCTCCTATTATAGAATTTAATACACCTGTAACTAATGTAATGTCGTATGCCAGTTATACTTCAATTTAGAAAAAGGCAAAAAATATTTTAATAGATTTCCTTTTATTCATATACACACAAAAACAATTTTATAAAATGAAAAATTTCAGATACATGTGATTTTGAAACGTTTTTCCCCATTGAATAAGTGCATTCTACTTGTATTTCTTTTTCAATAAATAAAAATGATTTTAATGACTGTGTGGCATTCTATGCAATGGAATCCACCAACATTAATTTTATAATTTTTTTATTTATTCACATGAAGTAGCAAAGATAGCACAAAGAAAGTAGCAAAGAAAGTAGTACATAATCTCACCCAATTTTCCCCAGTAGTAAATCTGAAGTAGCTATAGTACAAATTCAAAACTAGGAAATTGACATCAGTACAACAATGTGTATATATAGTCATATGACATTTTACCCAATAGATTCTTATAACCACCTCCACAGTCAGGACACAGAATTGCCACGAAGATCTCCCTTAGAACTACCCCTTTATAGTCAAATCCACCTTCACCTGTCTCAACATTGATGTCCCTTTACTCCCCTCCAATTATAATAAGGTTCTATACATTATATAATTTTAGCCATATTAAAATGTACAACATGATGATTTGATATGCATATATCATGTGAAATGATCACCACAATCAGATTAATTAGCACATCTATCACCTCACATAGTGATTTTTTGTTTTTATTTTATGGTGAGAATGCTTAAAATGTACTCCCTTAGCAAATTTCAAGTACTATAGAAACTATTATTAACTATAGTCTTCATGCTGTATTTTAGAGCCCCAGAAATTATTTATCTTATGACCGAAAGCAACTATCCCTTTAAAAGTTCATGGTAGTGTAAGACTTGACTGTTGGCTTTTCTTTTTGTAATGCAAGTGCCTGGCTTAAGTTCTGATTGCCCAGGCATCCTATAAACAAATTATGCAGCCATGTTTCTGACATAGCTCTATGCATATTTTGATTTATTTTTTTATTTATAACATTCAGGGGATTGATGAAACTTAAAGACATGGAAATATGTGACTTAAATGACAGAGATTTCAAGATTGCAGTTCTAAAAGAACTCAATGAGGTGCAAGAAAACTCAGATAGGAAGTTTAATGAAATCAGAAACAAAATCAATGAACAAAATCAATAGTTTACCAAAAGCTTGAAACTGTAATAAAGGACCAACAGAAATTCTGGAGCTGAAGAACTCAATAAAAAACATAAAGAATGAACTAGTGAGCTTAGAAAATAGAGCTGACCAGATAAAGGAAAGAATTAGTGATATCAAAGATATAAATCTGGAAATTACATAGATGGAAAAAGAGAGAGACTTAAGAGTTAATATGAACCCAATAAATTTAATAAAAATAAATCAAACTATGCATAAAACCAGTCTCTTTGCAAAAAATATTGTTGCAATGTAATGATGAATCATATATGATCATTTCTAGGTCCACATATTTCATGGCTAATATGTGGTCTTTTGGATTTCAATGAAATAGGATTTGACCCATGACATGTTCCAAGAAGATACATGGTGCTTAAGCTCTCAACAGGCAGAAATGTTTAAAAATTACTATGTCCTTACATCTACGTTGTAAAGAGAAATATGGGAGAATTTCCAGTGTTATTGTGAAGTATTTTTAGAAGCAAACAAGAAAATGTTTTTGAGGCTACAGAGAACAGTGTTTAGCCATTTAACAATATTAGGCAAGTTACATTACTGAGACCTTTCTCCTCTTCAGGGACATGAGCACAACAAACCTCCCCTGCAAAGAGATGAGGTGAGCTAAATGAGATGCAGCATACATGAATTCCCACCACAGAAAAGGTGCTCAGTGAAGCCCATTCTCCTTCCCCCCCTCCCACACAAAGGTGCAACCCTCTGTTTTCCTGAGATTGTCCCACTCTCACCTTTAAGGACTCAGGGAGGCTCTTCCTCAAGGATTTTTCTAGCATCTGCAGCATCTGTGGACCCTGCAAGTGGAGCATCTTGGCAGGTATTTGAGCCTAGAGAGAGTACCAAGAAACAGCCAAGAAGTAGAGAACCAGTAAGAACTAGATCCACACGCCTTTACCTGAATCTTAGAAGGAACATGAGATACATCGGCCCACTTGTCAAATAACTGCCTTGGGAGAGGGAGAAAAAGTAGTGTCATTCTAGATTTCTAGCCTTACAGTGAAGGACAGGAGTTTACAGGGCACCACTGCATATGTGAGGTGACCACTTATTGAAGACACCGAGAAACAAGAGTAGCAGGTTCTGGGCCGGCCGAGTGGCGCGATGGTTAAGAGCTGGCTTGGGACGCCAGAGGGCCCCGGTTTGGATCCCACATATGAGGGCC